ATAAATGTTTTTATTAAGCAAGGATGCATTAAATTGATCAAAAGTCACAGTAAAGACATTTGTAATGTTACAAAAGATTTTTATTTCAAATATATTGTTCTTTTGAACTTTAAATTGATCAGATAATCCTGAAACAATGTCTATCACAGTTTCCACACAAATATAATGCAACACAACTGTTTTCAACATTGCTGATAATAAACAATGTTTCTTGAGCACCAAAGCAGCATATTGCAATGATAGATCATGTAACACTGAAGACTGGAGTAATGGCTGCTGAAAATTCGGCTTTGCAATCACAGAAATAAATTACATTTTAAAATATATTAAAATAGAAAATGATTTTCAAATTGTAATAATATTTCATAGTATTACTGTTTTAGCCATATTATTAATCAAAGAAATGCAGCCTTGGTGAGCATGAGAGATTTATTTTAAAAACATTACTGGATATTTAATCCTTCATGCTCATCTTCTCCCTTTTCTTTTGCCTTCATCTAACTCTCATTAAAAATTAATATTTAAAACCAATAGTAATTTAATAATTTTATTAAATGTCATCCTTAGAAAATCTCTAAATGACTATCCATTTTTCATACTTAACATTACAATGTTGTGATGCCTACATTTATTTGTAGCATTTAAAATGTATGATTTTAGTTATTTATTTATTATACATTTATTTGGATAAAAAAGAATACAATTGTAATTGTTTGCATTCCTACTTGCAAAGAAATTTCAAAATTCATTTTAGAATAATGCTTGTTTATATCCTTACATCTCTTTATTTCTTGAAAATATGAAACATAGTGATAATGAAACTGTATAATGAAAAAATGGAATGTCCAGCATTGCATGATGGAAATAAATGCACCACTCTGTAGTTGAATTGATATTGTGTGTGTTTTCTAGGCCAACAGAGGATGAAGTACTATGAATTGATAGTGAGTGGCTCATACACCCCTCAGACAGTGCCGACTGGAGGCAAAACTCTCACTGAAAAATTCCAGCCCCCAGCCCCGACTCAGCCAGATACAGTGAGTACCAAACAAACCTTAGCTCAGCCACACTGGAAAGAATGCTTTGCTTTCCTATAAGTGTGTGCGGTTACCAGCCAAAGTTTCTTGGTGTCCTTGAAGAGCAATGGCCTTCCTTGGTTTGAGTTGTCTTGCAGTTTATTCTACATATTACAGTCACTCTCAAACCCCTGTCTGTGTTATTATAGTGACCACTAGTGGACCACAAAATGTAAAAAAAAAAAAAAAAAGAGCCATCAGGCATGCATTGAGATTTTCCAAATGCAGATGAAAACTGTTTGTGTCTGTAGACGGTGGCTGCTGGCGTTGAGACTCTACTGGCATTGGGGCTCTTAACTCAATATCAATTGGCCATTTTTTTCAGATATCGTGTTTGTGACATTGCTTTTCCCCTGTATACCAGCATTATGATGTTCAGTGAACAATGTCGTTTCCCTCACTTATCTGTAGGAGTTTTGGATTGCTTGCAGCCACATCCTTGTAATAAAACAATAATAGGGGATTTTATTGGTCATACTGTATTTTATAAGACTTTTTTTTACTTTATTTGAGACAAAGCGATTTTTATTGCCATGTTCCTAAATATTCAGTGTAAGTGGTCCAGTCACAGTTCAGGGCCTTATATTTTATATCCCTCTGGGCCCTGTTTAGCACACTATTTACTGTATTTTTATTAGGAATGCAACAGTATTTAAATGATGGATGATGCAGATAAAGATGGCCAATAACTCACATATTTCTAATATTAATTCTATATATTTTTTTTTAATACACTACCATTCAAACTTTTGGGGATGGTAAAAAAATTTTTTTAATGCTTTTGAGAGAAATCTCATTCTCACCAAGTCTGCATTTATTTGATCAGAAATACAGTAAAAGTAGTAACTGTTTCCTATTTTTATATGTTTCCATATGGTACATTTGAATACGGTTGTGTGCTTAATATTTTGGTTGAAACCGTGATTAATCTTTTTCAGGATTCTTTGAATAGAAAGTTCAAAAGTGGATTTTTCTGAAATAGAAATCTTTTGTATGGTAATGCAAATTACAAATAAAACACTACTAACAAATACAGAATAAAAAATAAAAAATTTTTGATTGTTATAAGTGTATTTAAAGATTAATACAATTTTACACTGATAGACTTTAAGTGATTGTTAAATGATGGCAAAGTTCAATTAATGTGAAAACTACACACATACACTATTAACCAATACCGATAATTAAACAAAATTATAATGTGTATTAGTTATTTTTACCCTCTCTAAATGATTAGATTATATTTCTTTTCTTCTTTTGTTAGTCGTCTGATATCCGGCGGAGGCTCTCCACAGACCAGATGGCAGCTCCCGCTGCACCTCTAAACTCTGGCGGCAGCACCACCCCATGTTCTGTGGACACTGGATTTGGAGACCAGCGCCTAGACACCCCTCCATCCTCTCTGGGAGGACCCTATACGCCAGGTTCCTCTGCTTCTTCACAGGGCGGCGGCACCCCTTGCACTCCTCGCTCTGGAACCCCTTTCTCCCAGGACTCGGGATACTCTGTGGGCAGGTTGGCTTCCAGATTTACATAAAACCTTGATTAGAAGTTGCTCGGTTAATTTCTCTTTAACGATTTGAGAAAATATCCTTTTCTTTCAGGCACGGTGGCTATAGCAGCACTCAAAGTTATTCCCAGCAGGATATGCTTCCATCTTCCTCCTGCTCCTCTTCAGCAGTCTCCTCATCATCAGGATTCAAGCCCCCTCGTTTTCATGATGACTTACATGCTCCACCTCCGCAAGAACCCTCCGTGTTCCACAGGGGTCGGCTGGGATATCCTCCAACAACGCCCTTTAGACCTAGCGAGCCTCCCTATCCGTATCCCAGTGTTGGAGGTTCAGGAATGCACATGCCGCTGCATCCACCCATGCCACCTCCAGGGCCTCAGTTTGAGCCACCTCCGCTGTCCGACAGAGAGAGAGACCGAGATAGAGAAAGGGGACAGAGGGATAGGGATCGCGAGAGAGACTCAGGAGGGCGCTGTGAAGGCGGGATAAGCTCTCGACGTTCCTCTTACCACTTCCAACAGGATACAAACTCCTCGTCCACCTCCAAATCCTACCATTCACATCACTCACATCATGCTGATCGGCGGGAGGACAGGGACGGCAGGGGCTACCGGCGCGACAGCTCAGGCTCCCGCTCGGGAGATCATGGAAGGCATCGGAACCACCATCACTCCCACAACCACCACAGCAGCAGTGGAGGTGGATCGAGCCGGCGGAGGAGCAGCAGAGATCGGGAATGGGAGCGAGACAAAGAAGGAGAATTTAACAGCTCTGATCCACGTTACGGAGGCCACTCAAACTCCAGCCACCACTCATCCAACAGCCTCTCCCCTCCCTCTGCCACCTCTTATGGAGGATACTCGTCGTCTAAAGACCTGTCCCCCTACGACACACCTTCTTCCTCCCGGCTAGAGCCCTCGCCAGCTTTCCTACCACAGCCGAGTACAGGCGAGAGGAGTTTTGGGATTGGAGGAAGCATGGACAATGACTACCGTGCTCATTCTCAGCACACGCCCCTGGCGCCACCGCCTCCACCTCCTCCCCTCCCGCCGGCCTCCGTCATCGCAGCCGCTGTGGCTGAAACGCTCAGCTCTCTTGATTTTGGTCAGGACAGTCCCATCCGAGAAGAACAGTGGACCAAACCCAAACGCTATCCCAGCACCCCGCCCCATCCACCTCGGACACCTCCAACCTCCTCGCCACCTCACGCCTCAATCCCGTCATCCTCCACCTCCCCATCCTCCACCTCCCTGCCTCACCACCTCCCCTCTTCGACAGCATCCCTCTCTCCGCCGCCTCCACAGCGTGACTCCTCCCCGGAGCCTGACTCCACCAATGAGAGCCTGCCATTCATGCATCACAGTAGCAGCTTGGACTCGCGTATTGAGATGTTGCTGAAGGAACAAAAAGCCAAGTTTTCCTTCCTTGCCTCAGATGATGAGGACGATGAGAAGGAGGAGGACAGAGAGAGAGAAAAAACAGGTGAGAATGCAGACAATGGGGGAAACAAACTCAGAGAGGAGAACCGTGAAAGGCCTAGTCACAAGAGACCAGGAGAGATGGAGGGAAGCCAACATAGGAGAAGAGGAGAGAAAGATGGACGCCGCAGCAGGGGCAAAAGGCAAGGTGGTGGAGTGGGTGAAGGCAGGAAAACGCCTCCAGAGGTGGCCTCTTCCACTCCCGCTACGCACAGTTTAGTGTCAGAGTCTCTTCAGGGCCAAATGCCGCCGCCTCAGGAGGAGCACACAACCTCTGACTCACACAGGGCTCCACACACACCACCCACCTACAATGGAGAGGCACAGGTGAGCCCTACTGGTTACATGTTACATGTAAAACAAGGGTAGGCGCTATCATTTGTAATTCGAATGTGCAAATCTGCTTGTTATTTCTGGTGTCATGGGCCACCATTTCCGGGTCTCAAAAGATCCCAAAAGAACACAACAAACGGTGCATATATTTAATCACGTTTTTCTGTGGTACTATATATAAAAAATTTTTTTTTACCTTTATCTCCATTTCGAATGATTTCTTGTTTATCAATTGTTCAAATGTTGGTGTCTAGGACATCGTTAACTTGGAGACTGTAGTGTACACCAGAAGTTTTAAAAAAATTGAGCTTAAATGTTTGTTATAGATGAAGAGTGCTCATAAATGACTGTTGAGTTAGTATTCTCACTTGAAATGGAGTAGAGGCTTGGAAACAGTAACAAACCCACAAATATCAAGACTCAACCAGCAAACAGCAACTAATTAATCAGAAGTCTCACACATCCACAAGACATATCTTACTTTTGCATTGAAAATTATGGTGGCTATATTAGTGCTAAATTACAAAATGCTCTGAGATGTTCACACCCGAAGATTCATGATTAATTTCTGTGGCAGTGCTCAGCAACAAAAGATAAGGGAAGCATTCCATCTCCTTTTTTAAAGCTGATATGCCTGTTTGTTTCGGTATTATAACTAATGCACTATTATTAAATGGTTAGTTTTATTTGCATTAGCATTGTTTTTCTGCTGTTCACGACCCTATCAGAACAGACCTGTTATCCATTATTGGTTCACTGTTGATATAAAACAGTATTATGTGCATTAGTAGCTCCATGACTTCAAAATATGTTGTATATCATTAAATATATAATTATATATAATTTACTCACTTTAGTGTGGTTCCAAAACCATAAGACTTTAATTTATCTTTGAAACAAATTAAGATACTTTTAATGAAAACGTTCACATACAATTGTCACATTTCACCCTCCTAGAGGCCATCACATGGAACTTTCAAATTGGTCGTAAAGCAGATATTGCAATTGCGATTAAAATTTATGTTGATGACAATGATAAGCTTTGGACATTTTTACTCTATATGGATTGATCTAACAGCCTGTCCCACAGCAGAAATATGAATGTTGCAGTTTGTCTGATACACAAACTCACACATATGATGCTAACAGTGTGTTTACATGGACCCTAATAATCCCGTAATAGGACTAGAAGCAAATCAGAATTAAAAAAGCCACATTTAACCACATCAATTGGATTGAATTGGCCAGATCCGATTAAAATTTCGATCGGATTGTAAGGGGTGGTTTATTCCTTTTGTAATCCGAGCGAGAGGACATGTAAACACTTGATCGGATTGAAAACAGAAATTGGAAAGTACTGCGCATATGCAGTGACGTTAGGGCTGCACGATTAATCGATTAATCTCGTCAGTAAAGCCGGTTCTTTGATTTGTAGTAAATCTCCAGCACGTGCTTTCAGATGGAGCAGCGTTTACTACACAGAGCCGTAGTTCACCGACAAGCTACGCAAAATCGCGTTCATAATCGCAGACGATTTAATCGAGCAATTATGAAATCGTTCTGCGATTATGAAAGCTGTTTGCGTAGCTTATCAGTGCGGCTCTGTGTAATAAATGCTGCTCCATCAAAGCACGTGAAAATACCACATTTAATAACATGTTTTTACTCCAAACTCACTTCATAACGTCAGTCGAGTGTTTGAAGTAAAGGAAGTAAATCCTGATGATGTGAGATGATGTGGCTTCTTACACAGAATAAGGCACACAACATATTTCATAGTATTCTAAGCAGCGATAAAGGTTATGTCGATTAGCATTGCATTATTATATACTTTATTATAATAAAAATTATAATAAGACGAACTCAGATAAACCATATATTGTCGTAGTCGTGGGTTTATTAGTCACTTAAATCTTCTGTTTATTCAGCAACCGCTATAGGGATTTCCTGGGTTTCTTCTGCGGGGCGTATTTGGAGTTTCAGCGCGAGAGCACCCTCTGGCCTTCGGATGGAGATCACAGAACCGTGCTTCACTGAAAGATACGCACGACAATTGCAGCTTCTGCCTAATGGCGATTTATCGCCTTTGCGATTTAATTTCGATTAATTGTGCAGCCCTAATTGACGTAGAAATAGCGTAATGACGTATGACACACAGAACGAGCTGTGCCTTCCTGGTAAATAAAGTGTCATAAATGAGTGTCCCATCATTCTAAAATTCTGCTTTTACTTAGCGTCTGTGAAGTGAAGCAGGACAACATCCACCAGTCCTTGTTTAAGACTCATCAACAGACGACTGGTTTTGGGTGCAGGAAGGGGCACTTTATAAAGCAGTAAAAGTAAGCAGCACAGCACAACTGTTCATGTGCTGATCGTCGCCTAATTAGGACCGAAGTAGATAAATATCAAATGTGCTTTTTAAAACAGTATGCGACATATTCATGCAGTTTGCGCATTTCAAAAGATTAAATCCGATTAGAAGCTTGTGACATATAAATGCGCACAGCAACCCGATCACTTTATTTAGCATTCATGTAAACACAATTCAGATTTGTCAATCAGAATGAATTCATTCATAATAAAACAATAAAACAAATTAAGATTCTTTTAATGAAATCCTATCCACTTGCTTGAGTATGGTTGATATTTAAAAATATCTTCATTTGTGTTCCAAAGACAAACAATATTCTTGTGGTTTTGGAATGCATGAGGGTGAGTAAATGATGCTGGATTTTTATAAACGTTGGTAATTCTGATGTGACGTAAATGATCCAGTAAATTAACAGAAGTGAAACATGCTTTTGCTCTTTTTCATGCTCTGGTAGACTTTGGCATGTTCCTTTCTGTAGCCCAGTAATTTTCAATTCCAGTCCTGGGGACCCACTATGCACATTTTGTATGTCTCTCTTATCTGGGCCTCCTCCAACAGCTCTACGGCACCCCCTGGAGAAGTCCCGCCCACCTCTGAATATCCCCCATCATTTCACCTCCATTCAATACCCCCTCCGCATGCACCTCCGCACCACCCACACCACCCATACATGGACCAAGACGGGAATGTTGCCACCCACTATGACCAAGACCACCGCTACATCCCCCCTCACTTACCATACGCCTACCCAGACCCTCACGCTGCACAGCTTCCACACCATCATGCCATCCCACCTCCCCAGAGCCCCTGGGCTCCTCACCTACTTCCCCAGCAGTTTCCTTCCCACTATCCTCCACCTGGCTTCGGCACAATGCCTGGCGTAGATGGAGAGCTGTACGGAGCAGCAGGTGACCAGATGGCCATAATGGGCCACAACCCCTACGAGGCAGTAGTGCAGCAGGTGCTGGCAGCTTTGATCGAGGAGATGAAGAGCATCATGCAGAGGGACCTGAACCGCAAGATGGTGGAGAATGTCGCCTTTGGCACCTTCGACGAGTGGTGGGACCGCAAGGAACAGAAAGCTAAGGTAACATCAGAGTGTTTTCTGTATGTTTTTTGTGAATGACCTTCAGTGTTCATGAACCGTACCACCTCTTGCTTTCGTTTGCTCAGCCATTCCAGACAGCCATGCGGGGAGTTGCAGTTGTGCGCGAGGAGGACAAGAAAGACGAGAAGACGAGCAACCGACCTCGGGAGCCACTCATGTCTCTGGTAGACTGGGCCAAGAGTGGAGGCATGGAGGGTTTCTCCCTGCGGGGGGCCTTGCGTTTGCCTTCTTTTAAGGTGCTTGACGTTATTTCCCACCTATTAAACATCTGAAAACAGTTTCCAACATTCGCAAGTAATTGTTACATTTCACCCCCTAGAGGCCATCACATGGAACTTTTATATTGGTCTTTAAATCTTTATCTTTCATTTAGGGCTGGGTGATAAACAATATCACATTGCAGTGAGGACATGGACGCATGAACTTAATTTACAGAGCTGTTCTGAGAGTCATTTCAGAGAAATTTCAGTTTCATTTGAGAAAAATACACACTAATACTGAATTATCTTCACAACAAACCATCAAAATAAAAGTTTTGTTTACCTTGAAGAAATTCTAACAGAAATTGAAATATTTTAATTTAATTGCATTGTTAAGACTGGTGTGCTTCATTACCATGATTTGAAATAATCTCATATGAAAATTATGTTACTAATGAGGAATGTGTTGTTCAGGTGAAGAGGAAGGATCCTCAGGAACTTGTCGAGGGTGGTGAGCTGAAGAGAGCCAGGCCTTCCACTCCACCCGATGAGGAAGATGAGGGTATGACTCTAATGCTGTTTTAGAGCTGGATTAATGACATTACCGTAATTCTCTCAAAGGTTCTGTTTTTGACGTTTACATAATTGTAATTCTATAACCTTCCTATGTATTCTTCCTTTGCTAACTATTCTTTTTCTCTCTCTCAGACTCGTATCAGGGGAAATCTGCCGACACTTCTGCAAGAAGAACAGAGGAAAGGCGTGTAGCAGACAGAGGAGCAGCCAGGAGAAGGAGCAGAGCCAAGGCGCGCAAACCATACGATCTGGACAGCGAGGGAGAAGAAACATCAGATGGTTCCTCCTCTGAGAAGGTTGGTTTCTTTACCATTATGTCTGTCCTTTGTGTGTCTGTGTAGTATTTGGCGCAGGCTGGTTTGGAGCATTCTATTGCTCCTTTACAACTCAAGCCTCATTTGCCCTGCATGAGAGAATTGCAGAGGCTGATGTTTTTTTTTGTTTTGTTTTTTAGTACTAGAACTTACACATTTAAAATTTGTACAATTAAATTATTTTAAGTTAATCTAATGTTTATATTTTATTTTCCACTTTATTTCAGTTAACAAAAACCATTTTCAATTTTAACCTTTAGTTAATGATAACAGCACTGTTTAAAATTATTACCAACTTAACTGAACAACCTCATAAATTGAACAATTTATCTGTTCTGAATTAAAAAAAAAAAGTAGGCTATAAATTGAATAATGGTAATATTTAGTTTCTATTTTTGTTTTTCTAATAAATTTTACACAGAATAACATAACGTGCATAACATGAATTGTTTCCATATCTACAAATTTAAATATTTCACTGTTCATGAATGACAGATCAATGTTCATTTAAATATTTCCAATAGATGTTATAATGTCATCAATATTTGATGTGAATGATTTCTTTTCTCTGGTCATGATACAATGTGTGATGCCTATATAGGCAAACATTCTATCAAGGTGAAAATCTTTTTTGCAGAATATGTAATACTTGTTATTTCATTGAATAATGGCTAGATGGCAGCATTTCTCTTTTTTTCTTAAGATTCTGTGGAGGAATTCTCTCAACTCCCAAGGGATGAGTTCAAACATGTTATTGTGAATGGTGATTCCTCATTGTTTTATGTTTAGGAGGAGGATGAAGACAGTGACAAACTGGATGAGTCAGAAGGTATGAAGCTGTCTTGTTTGTCTTTCGTACTGTGCTTATTAATTTGAGTCCTTGTTGCTATGTGCACTTTATTTTAGGCTTTTATTTGTCTATCCAAACATATCTTGAAGATCTATGAGTTTTGCCATCTAATTATTTTGTCTATTTCTCATGTTTCTCAGATGAAGCCCTTAGCGCAGACAGTGATGACGAAAGCATTTCCTCCTCCTCTTCTGAGAGCTCATCACCATCATCCTCAGCATTGTCCTCTTCTTCCGATGAGGAAGATGAAGAAGACGGTGAACAGGCCGCTGAGAGTGAGTCATTGGACACAATGGATGAGTCTACAATGGACAGCATGGCGGCTATAGATGCAGAAAAGGATGGAAGGTACGTCCATCTTCGAGAACTGATAGTGTGAAGAAAGTTGTGTCTTCACAGATATCACATGTTGACATGCATTATGTCTGTTTCTTACAGGGACAAAGCAAGCATTGACCAATCATCAGTGACTGCTGCAGAGGTCAAACAAGGTCAGTTAAAGATCCCTTTTTCCAAAACAATAAAATTAGGGAATTAAAGGGATAGTCCAACCAAAAATGAAAATTATCACTTAGGCCCAATTCTAATTCACACACAACTTTAATCTCTCTCAAAATGGACATATTTGAGAAAAAAGTTTGGCGATTTCTAAGTATTGGGCGTATTTTTATTTTTTTTTTTGCAAACATTTCTTTGAATAACATGACCGTAAATATGAACACAAGATTGAATGTAACATAAAACAGATTTTTATTTTTTTAATAAAATCCTTATTAATTCCAAAAATACATACATTTATGGGTCTTCTTGTTTGCTCGGGCAGCCATGTTGCTGCTGTAGCCGGTGTATGCTGAGATAATTCTCATACCCCTTTGTCTGAAAAATCATCGTTTGGAGGACTATCTGGCCCCTTCCCCCACCACTCCAACCAAAAGAGAATCGAGACACCCCTACCTCTTCAAGTGAACGCGCCTAGGGGAAAGTGTATGGGCAATGGGTAGAAATGGGATTGGGCCTTACTCTCCGCTTTACTCACCCTCATGTCATTCCAAACCTGTTTGACTTTCTTTATTCTGCTGAACACAAAAGATGTTTTGAAGAATAATGATAACCAGTTTCCTTTCCCATTGACTTCTTTTGTGTTCCACAGAAGAAAGTAAGTCAAACAGGTTTGGAACAACATTAGGGTGAGTAAGTGATAACAGAGTTGAGTGGACTATCCTGTTAATAAGCAAATTTATGAGTTTAAAATTCCTTATTTTTATTTTTAAAAGTGCGAAGTTTTGTTCACTTAATTTGTTCTTTCACTACCAGAAGAAGAGAAAATGGTTACAGCTGTGCCTCCATCTTCTCCGTATCCCCGTCCTTCTTCACCCATTCTCCTCCTTCCCCCACTCAAGAAACGGCACAAAACTGTTTCTTTCTCAATGGAAGAGAGCGAGGTCAAGCCCTCCATTCTGTCATCATCTTCTCCCACTCCTGTCTCACAAGCCTCAGATGTTCCTACTTCCGCTTCTCCCGGAAGCATGTCCACAGCAACTGCTCCAGCCGCCGCCTCCAAGCCCGTCCCGATGCTCCTTCCGTTTGCTTCTCGTCCCAGCGAGAGTAACGCCCTTACCTCCCCTGCTTCCCCTTCTGCCGTTCTTACCGTCCCTCCGCCGGTGCGTTCCCTGCGGCCTGATGAGCCCAAAAAGGGTCCAGGTCTCCCTCCATCCCCACTAACTCCCACTGCCAAAAACTCCTCCAAACGTGGCAAAGACTCTCCCAGAACACCCCCGGCGCCCGTCTGCCTCACTGTCCAGAACCTTCCGCTGGACCATGCCTCCTTGGTCAAAGTGGCCTACGAGGACCCCGTTCCCATTTCAACCACGCAGAAGGGTCGTGCACGTGGTCGTGCTCGGGCACTCAGCCAGTCGGCTTCCGCCCCTCATCTGCATCCCGCTCTGGAGGAAGAGGATGAAGAGGAGCTGGAGCAGCGGCTGAAACTCAGGGAGCAGCTGGGAGTGTCCAGCCTGCTGCAGCTGGCCTCTGCCCCCAAGCCTGACCTGTCAGTGCTGGCTGATGTGGCGCTGAAAATGGACCCGGAGGCAGATATTGACTCTGAAGAAACGGAGACCTCCGATGAGGCAGAGGAGCACAAGCTTGAGGAAGAAGAGGGAGACTTCTTCGCCCCACACCCACGCCAACCACTCCCGGATCCAGAGGGTCTGTTCGTCCTGCAGGAGCACAACTATTCTAAAACTCCTGCTCCTCTGCACCTCACATCTCCACAGAAGAGGACGAAACAGGACCCCACAGTCCTGCTCCCTGCCGACCTCAACCAGCACGGTGTTCAGGAAGCCCCTGAAGAGGTCATCGGGGAAGCGCTAGCCGCAAGAGGAGAGGCTCCAGAGCTATACGGGGACCTTTCTGGGATGGGCCTGCTGTGCGACTCCAGGGACACGGCTGAGACGCAGACCAAGACACTCGGCCCACCACACAAGAGGAGAGGATCAATTAGCAAAGAGATGGAGATGGAAAAGAGGGGGAAAGGGAAGAGCAAGAAGAGAAGTAGGAAGGACAAAGAAAATGAGGAACTGCAAATCTCTAAGAAGCAGAAGGAGAAACAGATCAAGAAACAGAGGAAAAGGAAGTTAGAGGTTTGTGCTTCTGTCTGGTTCTCATTAAAGAACTTGTTGCGAGAGAATTCACCCTTAAGCATCAATTACAGTAATTGTCAAATGAGGATTTTAATGAGGAGGTTGCTTGACTGTAATTTTCAGTTTAAATAACTTGAAGCTTGAAAAGCTACAGTTTCATTGGTCCTTGTATGAGGATCTTTGCAACATCTTAGATGGTTTGTATATATATTTTCTCAATGGTCTATATCCTAGTTGAATGCCACTTTGCATTGTCAATGTAGCACTGTTGCAACAATTTTACCACGCTGGAATGTTTCAGGCTGTTGCGATATAACAGTTTGTCCTGCAAACCCACAGAACTTGAACTGCTTTCAACAGTTCTGCATTGTTGGGTAATACTGTTAAGTTTGTCAAATAGTGGCGGAATATCCCCCCCCATTTGGTCTGCATTTTGTGTGCATTTTGTCTGTTTGCTAACATTTTCCAAACATACTCTATTGTCAGGAATATGAAGAAGATGTGGATGTGGAACAGTTGGAGTCTGGTGAGCTTTCCAGCTCTGACTCGGGAGACTCTGACTTAGGTCTGGAGAGATCGGTAGAGTTTGAAAAGGAAGAGGTTAGAAAGAGCGAACGACTTTTCCTGCAGGAAGCTGGCTTGACCCCCTCGACTCAGCGACGGCCCAAACACATGCCCACACCAGCTCCCGTACCACAGCTCTCTTACAAGAACCGTAGCGAGTTTGAGCAGATGACCATCCTGTATGACATCTGGAACACTGGCCTGGACCAGGAAGATATGAGGCTCCTGAAGAGCACCTACGAGAAACTGTTGCAAGATGATCATGGCACCGACTGGCTCAACGACACACACTGGGTTCCTCATACCAATATCCTTACAGCTACCTAAGAATGAAAATGCATGGTTTATACCAACAAACGGGTGCTTTTATTAGCGATACAGGAGCCGACAGTATTATCAGTACCACAATACCAAATTTAAAGAGTAAACAAGAAGTGTAAATGCGTACAAGTAAATAGAGTAAAAGGCTACTTTACACATTGATGCTGCTTTCTAAGTGCATTTTTCCCAAGTTTTGCTCCCTTAACCTCTTGCCTGCACTGACCAACATCCCCAACCCCCGGCGGAAGAAGAAGACAGCAGATAGGCAGCTAAGAGAGCATGTCACGGGCTGTGCTCGTAGTGAAGGCTACTATCCCATCAGCCGCAAGGAGAAAGACGTCTACCTTGAGCTAGACCAGCCAGTGACTGTGCAGGAAGCTGGTGACTATGATACTGCAGTAGGTTCACTTTGTTTTAATAACTCAAATGTGTGTTGAACTTGTAATTGAAGTCTTGTTTGTTTGTTTTTTTTTTACTGTGAAGATGTCATATTTTAATGTACATACTGTAGTTGTTACTGAAAATATTTTTGACTCATTAAATTACTTTGTTCAGCATGAATATGGGAGAAAGTTTGGGTTAGTAATTTGTATCCATCTGAGCAGCTCTCTCTCTGTCTCTCCTTCATAGGGCTCGAATCGTCTGCTCTCAGAAAGGCGCTCCGAGCAGCGGCGTCTCCTCAGTGCTATTGGCACTCCAGCAGTGATGGACTCCGACCTGTTGAAACTGAACCAGCTGAAGGTAAAGTTCTTTAGTTCATTGACACAACCATAACTTTGATCATAATATCAAGACTTTGATTACATTGACCTCACCACTCCTTCAATTCCACGAACTCCCTTCAGCTTGTTTTCAGTTGTAGTAATTCATAGCATTCTGTTCAGTGTTTGATGTAAGTGCAATGCCCATGTAATGAATGGCATCTGTGGGCACACTGACCGGACAGGTCTCTTTGTAGTGTAATTCATACCCCCCCAATCAGCTCTGTAAAGTCTACTGACTCCTGTATCAGTGACCCTGACTGGCTGAGCCTTATCAGTGATTCTGGCTGTTGCTATGATTGACAAGATCTTTGAGATTGAGTTAATGTGTTCAAAGTTAAAGGGGTCATATGATGACATTTCATTTTTTCCTTTCTCTTTGGAGTGTTACAAGCTCTTGGTGCATAAAGAAGATCTGTAAAGTTGCAAAGACTAAAGCCTCAAATCCAAAGAGATATTCTTTATAAAAGTTAAGAGTCAGCCACACCCCCCTAAAACGGCTCGTTCGAACACGCCCCCACATACCTACCTCACT